CAGGCTGCTAAAATCTGTTGGCACAGCAGAGAGGAAAAACAAACCAAAGTCCTGGGCTTTGTTGTAGCAGTAAATAAAGTTTAGAATAAACACACACGCGTATACACATACACACACGCATATACACATACACACACACAAGTAAATTGCACATTATGGTATAAGTGGGTAAATATTGTGTGAAAAGGCCTGGAGATGGAGAGGAGGGATAGTGCTCATGGGATGGTTGGCTTCCAAGGAGGGAAAAGGCTCTGTGAAGGAGACAGAGTAGGTTAGTTGTAGGACCAGCACTTGGGATGAACCAGGTCTCGATGGAGAGAAACAAGATGGTTGTTGGAATGGCCGGAGCAGAGTTCTAGGACCAAACAATAGCCAGGTCCTCTTTGTGTAGTATCAAAAGTAACAGTAGCAAGAAGATATATGGATTTTGAGCACAGGGGTGACTTGTTTGCATGTAGGTTTCCACAGGCCACAGGTTTCTGTTGTTTTGTTTTTCTTGGTTTGTTTTTTGTCATAATGAGTGATTTCAGTGATGGGGAGGTGATGCCTCCCCTGACCCAAGGAGTAACTGATGATGGGAAACAGTTTTGGTTGTAATTCTTGGCAGGGAATGTCCTAGAGACCAACGGGCAGAGGCCATGGATACTGCTAAGTGTCTTAGAATAGCCAACTCTCACCGTCAAGAGGAACTCAGCTCAGAAAGTCAGTAGCATCATGGCTGAGAAACTCTGACCAAAGATCTTGCCTCCCAAACCAGCGACTAAAGAACATAGTGACAGTCTCAGAAATTCTGTAGTTGTGTGTAAATTAAGTTCTTTATGTTTGAATATTGAAATACCATACTTCTTAAAATAGAATTTTAACTATTAGCCAGAAGGAATTATTTTTAAAACATAATTATTTAGATTATTTTTAAGTCAGTCTGAAAAGCGAAAGGTTTCATTAGGTCACCTAACACATATGTATTGCCATACTGTGCTGGTTGATTGCTTGTTAACTTGGCACAAGCTACAGTTATCTAGGAAGGAACAGAAATAGAGAAAACACCTTCATAAGACTCTGCTAAAAGGCTTTTTCTTAGTGATTGACGGGAGAGGACCTAGCTCTTTGTGGGTGGGACCATCCCTGAGATGGTGCTCCTGAGTTCTAGAAGAAAGCAGGATGGGGAAGCCACAGAGGGAAAGCCTTCCTCCATGGCCTCTGCATCAGCTCTTGTCTCCGGGTTCCTGGTCTGCTTGAGCTCCTGTCCTGATTTCCTTTGATGATGAAGTGTAAAATAAAAGCGTAAGCTGAACAAACTCCTTCCTCCCTAAGTTGCTCTGGTCATGGTGTTCCATCACAGCAATAGTAACCCTGGCCAAGACCTGTTGTTCTAATCCATCCCCGCATCGTACAGCCTTCCTCTTCCTTATTCTCCCACACGAGCTGGTCCCCTGCTTTTCACCAGTTTAATCCTCCTTTCGGCATCCTTGTCATACGTATTCCATTACTTTCTGTTCCCCAGTTCCTTAGCATCTCTTCCTTCCCATGATTCCCCTTTCTACCTCTGCGTTCTAAAAACAGCACCCCACAAACCCAAATTCTACACATGAGTGAAAACCTGTAGTATTTGTCTTTCTGAACCTAGGCTATTTTACTGAATGTAAGGACTTTCAGTTCCATGCAAGTCCCCACAAATGTCACGATTTCATTTTTCTCTATGGCTATGTAAAATTCCATTCCGCCTATGTACTACATCGTTTTTATCCAGTCATTGATTGATGGACATCTGTGCTGATTCTACTTCCTGCCTATGGTGAATCTAACAGCAATGAACACGGGTGGATGAGTGTCTCTGTGGTGTGTTGACTTAGATTCTGTGGCGTATAGTCACTGGAGAAATACATTTCAGCTGTACAGAATTCTGTTTTTGTTTTGTTTGTGGACATTTCACACTGACTTCTATGGTGATCTCACCAAGTTACATTCACACTAGCAGTGTGCGACTTCCTCTTTCCCAGCATCCTCACTAGAATTTGCTGTCATTAGTTTCCCTAATCATAGCCATTCTTACTGGAATGAGATGGAATCTTAGGGCAATTTAAATCTGCATTTTGTAGGGGAGAATTTTAATAATATACCATACAGGAATGGGAATAAAAACTAATATTCAGCCGGGCAGTGATGGTGTACATCTTTAATCCCAGCACTTGGGAGGCAGAGGCAGGTGGATTTCTGAGTTCGAGGCCAGTCTGGTCTACAGAGTGAGTTCCAGGACAGCCAGGGCTTCACAGAGAAACCCTGTCTCGAAACAACAACAACAACAAAAACAAAACAAAAACCCTAGAATTCATCCTGGATTTCTAAGTTCACTTCTATGGCGTTTCTTCCTAATGAATTAAAACAATATTTTATAATAGCTTAAAACATATACACCTAAAATAATTAAATCTTTAACCTTAAAAATTAAACTTGAAAATATTCAGCAAGTTATTTTATCTAATCAAGCAGATTTAATTTACATGTTTCTCTCTTTTTATTTGCAAATTAATGACAATTTTATGGAAACACTTTCCAAAAATAAACTGTAGTTCTTTCTTTAGAAATGACAACTCAAGGGGACTGGCTCAACACGTATGAGCACTGGCTGCTCCTCCAGAGGACATGGCTTTGATTCCTAGCTCCTAACATGGTGGCTCACAGCTTCTGTAACTCCAATTTCAGAGGATCTACTGTCCTCCTCATCTCTTCTGGCACTGCATGCATGGGAACAGTACATACATGTTGGCAAAAGGCCCATATATGTAAATTAAAAAAATTTAAAAGTCAAAACTGGATACATACTGCTCACATCCATGGCTTTCACAGCCATGCAGAGAGCTGTATATTGGTTGTTTCTGCCGATTTTTTTTTTTTATGTTTTAAACATTCGGTAAAATATTAGTCTCCCAACAAAGTTGACAAAGTAATGTAGTTAGTGTTGCCTTGAGGTAAGAGAAACTCATTATAAGAGCACAAATTATGTGGGAGTCATATAGTTTACTTTGTTTATTAATGGCTTTTATATTCAGTATGAGAACTTTTAATTATTTTCTAGAAAAAGGTAAGGTGTTTCTAAGTACATATATTCAAACATATTACGAGTAAACCTGAGGGATATCTCCCAAATTTCTACATTATGGGTACCCAGTCAATCATTAGTCAGTAGAAAAATTCATGTTAGCTTCATTCACTAATCTCAGGAACACTTAGAATGTGTCAGGTGGGTTTATCTTTCATATATAGTTACATAGACTATATAAATATATTCCTTCAGCAAGAAGCAAGTGAGGATTTTAGAAAGTACAGAGTCAATTGCACATAAGAAAAAGACAAGTGAAGGATTCTGACTCTCCTCTCACCCCACCCCCCTTCAAAAGAAAGAGTAAGATGTTGGTAGGCAAGGGATCCCTTGCTTTCTGCAGGACACCTTCATAGATCAACTGTATGAAGAGTCAGCGGGTGGCCAGATATCAGATAAGACACAGACAGCCAGGAAATTCCCCAAATTCCCTAATCATGTCTCTCACCTTAGACACGGTGTGACACTTTTACATGTTTTCCCTTTCAGGAGCCACACTGAAAGCAAAGATGAGTCACGGTTGCCAGGCCCGATGATTGCCATCTTGGTTTTACTCAGACTTTGCATTCTATGACCCAGGATAATTTCTGACAGGGGGTCTAGAAGGCTTTGGAATTTTAATATCCATCAGTGGTACATGTACTTTCCAGTTCAGTTTTTAGTTGCCTGAGCCTTGAAAGTATTTGTGTTTTTTTTTTCTTCTAGAAATTATTTCAAGATAAGAGACAGAAGGAAAGCAATTTCATTTTCCATTTTCACCCAGTTGGTTAAGAAAATGCATTGACACATTGAGATGTTTTCATAAACATAGCTGTCTAAAGATTCAGTTTTATGAATATAGATTTTTGCACAAAGGCAGCACTGTTAGGAAAAAGATTATCATCCTTCTGACTGCTGGTGTTTGGAAATCTGAATTCAAAACGCTCAGGTTGATTTATCAATGAAAATAAGCAAAATCCAGGCTGTTGCCAGCCACAGTAAATGTTAAAACCCATCTTCTAACCAGTTAACTCTGCTTACTGCCTGGGTTTGTGTGTCACTTGTTTTTTTGCTTGAAGAGCTGAGGCCATTACTGTAAGGGCAGGGTGGGGAGGCTCTTACGTCTAAACCACAGACTCTAATGGAAACTTTGCATACCATGCCTTTGGTGTGGAGAACTATCCCTAAAGTTGGAGACATAGTGGTTTGGTACTTGATGATTCCTGAAAAAGCTAAATTCATTTCACCAGCAATGGGACTTACTGACATCTTTTACCTTTGACTAAAGAACAAAGATGTATGCATCCAGATTCTTGAGTATGAGAAAGCACATGTAAAAAGTGGGTCTGGTCAAAGTTCTTAATGTAAAATTCAAAACTCTGAGGTGACTAGAGGAACTGTATCTTAAGACAGAAGCGTATGTAACAATTTCCTGACTAGGACTCTAGTAGCTCCAGAAATATTAGCAAGAATTTACAAATAGGATTTCATGAAATAAGATGTAAATTTTATCTTACCAAGGCAGGATCTCTGTGTGTGTAGTGTTTGTGTGTGTGTGTGTTTCCGTGCCTGTCTGTGTTTCATTTGTAAAGAAATAATAATATATGAAAAATATTTTCATTTATGAACTTGATTGAAGACACTGGCCATATGGACTGTATGATTTTGTATTACTAGGAAAGGAGTGGCTGTCTAAGCTTTCCTTCACAAAACTACCTCTGATGGGTAGGTCCCTGATATCTCTGTATCACTGTATATATACATATACATATACGTATACATATATATGTATATATATATGTGTGTGTGTTTCTTATTTGAAGTTAAGCTTTACAAATAATGCTTAATATTCTGAATATTAGCTCAATTAAAGCATGAAATCAAGACACTTAAGTAACTTAAAGATAAAATATAACATTACCTTATTATGATGGAGCCACAAATATCTTAATTTTTTAAATCTAGAAAGATCAATAACTTCTGTCAGTCCACTGGAAAAGAAAAAAAAAACATGAATATTAACAAGTCACTTGCTTATTGATAAGGCTGGCCATACTGCTACGATTGTTTGGGAGAACTGGCAAGGCCTTTCCTTTCAGAATTGTTGGTACACTTACATTCTAATTTTAGAAAGAATATCATTTGATTTAAGCTTTTATTGCCAGTAAAGGTCATTAGTTGAAACATATATTATTGCAGAGTTTATTTCAATCTCATTTCAAAACATTTTGCTGGGCATTGGGGAGGGAGAAAAAAAATGAAATGGACACTGGACTGTCAACTCAATGTGAAAAATTCAACTGGGTGCTGCTTTAGTCTTGCCTGCAAGTTCTCACTCTGTGATTGGTCCTGTAGTGGCCACACAAGATCGAGGAGATGACATTAGCAGGATACTTAGGGACAGACACTGAGGAGTCGGTATTGTTGCTCACTATTCTCCTGGTCAATACAGCATCCACCTAAGGAGACTAAGTTTGATTCAGCAAAGTAAACCATCAAATTATTCACACACACCCCCACTCACTAGATTTCCTTTATAGTTCGTTTATGTCTTATCAATATTCATATATTGCATTCACTTGGCCTAACTTCCAGTAATTGTAAGTTTATGTTTGCCAAAGTCTTCCCCATTAACATATTTACGTATTTAAAATTGTAGACAACTGGACAGGAGAACGCCACATATTCCTGATTCTTCTCAGTTTCCCAACGATTATATTCTAGATATATTGCCTTAATTACATTAGTGGAAAGGCTGTGTTACGTCAGGAAGTTAGTGATGTCAGTTTGTCTCACTGCTGGTACACTAAGTTCTGTTATTTGTTTAGGGTCTTCCAAGTCTGTACTGAAAAATGCAAATTTTATAATAGAAAGCTAGTGTGTAGGGCCCAACTTGGACTCCACACACGATGTCTTGCCCCGCACAATGCCATTGCCTTCATTTGGTGACCCACTACCTGATTTGGGATTGGTCCTCATTCTTCTTACATTAATTAACTTTTCTTTCTACGAAGAGCATCTGCTCTTTTCTTTCTCTTGTTTATTTCTCTTCTCTGTCTTCTTCTGATTTGCCTGCCCTCCCCGACACAATTTCTGAGATACAACATATACCAGGCTTCTCCAAAGCAACTTTCAATAAGAAGTGCACAGCACTAGTGTATTCTCTCTCTCTCCCTCTCCCTCTCTCCCTCTCTCCCTCTCTCCCTCTCTCCCTCTCTCCC